AAACAGATCGAGCTAGTTTATTACGTACCATGCTAACTTCTCTAAAGCAAAAAGAAATTTTGATTATTCTTAATAGTGGAATCCTACAGCCTTACTAAAACTTCCTATATGCCTTTTTTTTTATTTATTCTCCGTAGTTTTATTTTTTTTAAAAAAAGTACTTTAAACTGCATAAATAATGTAAAGTTAAATAGACTTAAACGACCAATCATATGAAAGTCATCCTATGACTTCAAGGTTGAACCAACTAATTGACTTATCCACGTCAACCAACAATATATACAATTGTTTCATAATTTTGCATTACGTCATGTCCTTATATTAGTAAACAAATAATGCATAATTCACTTTAGAAATAATTAAGTTGAGAAGACTTGTGAGTAGAGAAGAAAAATGAAAACTAATTGCATTTATTTAAAATATTCAGCAAATATCAAAGCTTTTTTGAATTAAAAAATAAAGGCATTATAATCATATTGCCGCAGTAGAATTATTGTGAATGTTTTATAATATAAAGTACAATTGAGAACACAAGCACAGAATTTTTGATATAAAAACATTAAAAAACTACGGGATTGTGCATTAAATCTTTTTAACCGATATCTAGATATTGAAAAATTGAACAAATGCATGTCCAGATGCTTATTTTTTCTGACCAAAATCCAGATTTTAAATATTGAACAAATGAATATCCCTCTATGAATCAGAACCAGGTATACCGTATAAATCTGAAATAATGCCCGTGGGCGTTATTTTGAAAATCAGGTCTTTCAAAAATAGCATATGCAATTTCGAATTAACGCCCATGTGCGTTCCGAATTAACGCGCATCCCTCATAAAAAATAAAAAAATGAAAAGTAGCTTCAAACTGGATTTGATAATGATTTACCATTGTTAGAATCGTCTCAGTATGAAGAACAACTTTTGTTAGAGCATTAAAGCAGGTTTGTTTAGTACCAAACCAGTTCCGGAGCACTTTTTATTTCTTACTATATTTATTAAAATTAAGGTATTTATTTAACCCATATTTCGAAATAACGCGCAGGTGGGCGTTATTTCGGATTTATACGGTAGATAAAATCTTCTGTTTTCTTCTTCTTTTACAATAAATACGCATTAACCAACCAATTGCTATAACTAATAATAGAAATGCTAAAATTGAAGTTGAGATTATTAATCCAGTATTAACGGTATTAACGTTAGAAGTTGGACTAGGATCCAATGTAGTTACAGTTTTATCATTGGATGTTGTAGGAGGCATAAATTCATTAATCCATTTGTAATCAAATTTGTCGCTTGTATCTAAAATGTATACTTCATTCATTGTCAAAGATGGTGTATAAATACCATTTCTTCCAAAAACTACAATCATATAATGATCAACCAAAGTAGCTGAATGATAAAAACGTGAAAGTGGTGAAAGAGTAGAAACGTTCGCTTTCGACCAAGTAAAAATCGATTTCTCGGTGTCTAACACTACAAGATCATCTGAAACTGGAACCAATGTACTGTGACTAATATAACCTCCATATACAATAATACATCCATCTTTTGCTATTATATATAGAAAAAGAAGAACGTAATTTTATAAGTGCATAAATATAATACAGTATAAAAAGAAATTTTATTACTTAAAACAGAAGAATGATGTCCTCGAGGTGTATGCAGATAACCCGTGGTAGTTTAAT